TTTTTGAAATGTGAGGAAAATGTGTGCTGTTGTATTGTTGGCTGACTCAAACTTATGAGGTTTTTTTTTAAATTTTAAAACAGTTTTTTTTTTGAATTTTCAACAATTTTTCAAATTTATTTTTAATTTTTTTTGAAAGTAAAAAAAATTTAAAAACTTGAATTTTAACTTTTAACAAGCACTTAACTATGCGCTTTAACTGTTTCAAACTTCAAACGAGTATCCAACCTCTACAGCCATTTAACATATTTTACAACCACTCCGCTGATAATTAATTTAAATATACGATTAAGGCTTCTCAAAATGCTTAATATTTAAAAACCCAAAACAAAAATAATATCGCCATAAAATTTTAAAATTTGAATGTATACAATTTTAATTAATTCGCGACTACCGCACAAGCTACTTTAAAATTCAATTTTGTTTTAATGCACAACTACACATTTAAGTACACAAAATAAAAACAGTTTCGATTTTCGAAAAAAATAAATAAAATGTAGGCCTAATTAAACAATCGCTTAAAAGTTTCACCTAGCCATGCCGCTTGCACTGCCTTACAATGAAATAAATAATAAATAAAAAAACTTAATTTAATTCTCTCTCACTCATTACTGTTGTAATTTCTTTATTTTTGCCAGGTGTGCAGATATACATATAAAGAATTAAATCGACTTGATTCCAAAATAGCAACAACAACAAAAAAATGATTGAGCTTTTGAAAGAGGCAAAGTGGAGAAGAAATAAAAAAAAAGTTTGTCGACCCACATTTTTTGCACAAAAACAACTTCTTTCGAATTGCCACCTTGCTTTAATACATTGCTCTTTTGTATTACTTCTTACTCTTTATTTTCTGCACTCTACTCAGCAGTTCTTTCCTTTCAAAATAATTTCATTTTGTTCGACTTTACTTCATCTCATATAAGTTCATCATTTTGATCAATCAATAGCTGATGGGTGAGATGAAAGTGAATTGGTTGCGAAAATTAAGTTGATGGAACTGTAATTGAGGTTGATCGAGTTTTCTTCTTGGAAATTTGAGTTGCGAAATTTACTGTCAAAAATGATTTTTATTTAATGTTGTGGAATAATTGAAGTGACATGGATTTTTTGGGAATTTGTAAACTTTTATCAGCTTTAATCGTAGCTTTTAAGACTTCCATCAGCATTTTTCATTCTCTCCAAAATCTGCCATACCTAATGACAAAACTCAACCGAACATTAGTGAAAGGAACATCATTCCATATATGCAATCATGCATAAATTGTCCAAGGGTCACTGGAGATTAATTTTATTATTTTTGCAAAGGCAATCACTTATTAGATAAATGTGCAATTAAGCATCATAAGCATAAATTTCATGCCTTTTATTTCTCTCCCATTAAGTCTCCATACTCAGTTGAAATAATCCAACTTTGCGAAACTAGCAAATTGAATCTTGTTGTGACATGGACACACTCATGTGAGACGTGATAAAATTTATGTTTAGATTCGATAGTTTTGATGATTTGTTTGGTATTTTTTGATTGAGTAAGTTGGTTTTGTAGATTCAATTTTTTGGTGACAATTGATTTGATTTTGGTGGTTTGTATCCTATTTAATAATGTGTGAAGGGCCCAGCCTTTCAGATAGAGGCTCTGCGTTTCAATTTGTAAAGAATCTATTGTATCAAACCCTTTAGACCTACAGTTCAAAGTGGGATCTGAACCACTTGCATATACTTGGTATCCTATTGTTATCCTACCAATAATCATCATCAGAACCCCCAATCATATTCAACATCTCTTAAAACCTCACAATCTACAACAACAATCCACTAATAACTTTTACTTTTGGTGACAACTTTTCCTCTTATTCAAGACACTTATGTTTACATCGCGTCGTCATCATCATTGTCACGTTACGATGAACATGATTTGAAGACGTTAAATAAGCAGACACTAGCAGATGGAGGTAATGACAAAAAAATTAGAAAGGTAAAGCGCCATAATGCGCATATATTGTAGTTGAATAAAAAGAGACATCCAATCGATCATAAATTCCAATCAAATTCATTTGAAAGAAAAAAAAAAAATTTAAAGGAGTGCAATGCAATCGAAAGTTATTACTTGACTCTATTGGAATTCTGCATTGTTTTTTAACTGCATACATAATAATGCAATAAGTGTTGTTATGTATGGGCAATGCAGTGCTGTTGATTTCTATGTTTGGATTCTTTTGTGGGTTAGGAGGTGGTTTTGTGTGATAGTGAAGCTTATGTTGGTTGTGGTAAGAGAGGATATGAGATGCTGGGTTGGAAAGTTGTCAAGAATGCGGATTAAGTGGTTGGAATTTTCATTAAAAAAGGATTTGAGATTGGTTTTTTGATTTGGTGAGTTTTAATAAAAATATTGAAGATAAAAGTAGCTAAGCTTGTAGACTATTCATCATTGAGCCAAGTACTACATCCATATTCTTAATACTTATGTCATTAATAACATTTTATCCCCCGCTGAGTCTGCTTACACAAATAAATTACTTAATCAAAACAGCTATAACAGCAACTTGTTTAATCACCTTGCGCCAAATTCTTAAGTCATTCAACCCAAATGAATACAAAAAAATGCTTTAGTTCTCCCCCATAATTAAAATATTACCTAAATAAAATCCACCATGCCAACCCACATTTATAAAGTTTTTTTTGCAATCAACTTTCTCAACTGAATAAAAAAATTCATTGCATTAGTTCGCATATAAAAAAAGACTATTGGAACATCGATTGGTCTCACGTATAAATTGAAAGTTAGAAAAAAAATTATCTAATAGTCTTGACAACAGTCTCGCAAAATGAATAGACGGAAAAAAAAGTTTGCAGCAACAGCTAATTGGATCGAAAATATTCAATGCATGACACAGTCGAAAAGATTGTGTGATAAAAATCGATTGTTGCCATTTTCGGGTTGTCTATAATTTTGTAAGTGTCTTGTTTCATTTTAAACATGCTCGTATGCACTGTGCATTTTTTTTTTGTTTGTGAACAAATCTAATCCATAAATCCGTAAGCGATATGTACATAAATGAATTTATGTAACACGATTGAGAGTGAATTTTATATCTCAATATTAAGTCGCTATATAATGCAGAAAAACGACGTAGAAGCAAGAAAAAAAAATTATAATGATGGCAAAAAAAGAGAAATATATAAACTAAAGTGATGCAACACAGATGGATGAATGTAATAATTTAATATTTATTTTTTTTTGCTCCATCTTACTCCATCCATCTTTCAAGTTACTCGCCTTATTTGATGTTGGAGCTGTATCACACTGTTTGAGGTTGAGGCTGAATGGATCTATCAAAGCAGATCGTGTGTCGTGTTTAACTCATTTAAAAGAAACTGAGTGTGGATTTCGGATGGTTTTGAATGATTCTTTAACTTTCTGTTTTTTGTTTTATTCAGATTTGATTTGCTGAATTTAGTGTTTTTCAGACAGATATGGTTCGATTCAGCTAAATCTGGCTCAATTAAGTAAAATCTGTCTCAATTCAGCAAGATCTGGCTCAAGTCAGCAAGATCTGGCTCAATTCAGCATCAATTCAGCTAGACATCATTTACTATTCTTCTTTTCTATTCGTTAGGATCTGATCTGTCTTTTTAAGCATATTAATAACATAAACATCATCTTACTTTGTTTAATTTCAAAAGCATTCACTTTTTATACGTGCTTTAAAACACATTTTCATCGCGCAAGAAGACAAAAAGGAGCAAAGTAAATAAATAAATTTGTTATTTTCGTCATTACTTTTAAAAACACACAGAACGTGCGAGAGAAATACAAAACATCGCAAAAGATACTTTCAGCTGTACAATCACAAATTGCTCGTCAGTATTGACGATATGAGAAATATGTTCGATCTTCAACAGGTTCGTGAAAAGTACATAACATGGAAAATCAATTTGGAGTTGGATAAAAAAAATTGTGGAAACAGAAGCATCGCGTGTCATCTTACTGCTTTGGTATTTTTTGAGAACGAAAATATAAATTAAGTTTTTAAAGTTGGAAATATAAAAATGTTGGTAAATGTTTATCAGATTGTTTAAAAGCGGAAATTGAATTTTTTGTTGCATTTAAAGAAGATTTGAAAAACAAAATGGCGGGTATCTCACTTAGAAAAGTTTTTGTAGCAAATTTAAGGATATTCAAAGTTTATGAACGAATTTAATAATTTATCTTTATGTTTGGAGTAGCAACGATCGATTGAATACAAAATTACGCAAAATTAGAGTAGAAACTTAGTAAATTAGTAAATTTAACCTTAAACCAATCAAATCTCATTCCATAAATCCACAAAATTCCAAAAATTCACTCAAAAAATCTAGCTTCCATCATAACTAGTTTATTTATTCGAAGAAAGTGCAATCAAATTTATTGAATGGAAAACAAGATGTGCTGCATTTTACATGCACATAAGCATAAAAGTGAATTTTCCATCTGATTGCATCACAAAAGCTTATCAATTTTTATAGATTTACAAAATAAAAATTCGCTTTTGAATATGAAAAAAATTCACAATTTTTGCTATTTGTTCGCTGATTGCATTTAAGATAATTGAATTTTACAGAAAATATTTTTAAATTTCATGGAATTTTTAACCATCGCTATGAATACAACTTGTTGAACATGTTAAGCTTAACTATACATAGGAATATGAAATGTACGATAACAAGAATGACAGGAGGTGAAAGAACGAATACGAGGAAGCGATGAGATCCTATTAAGATAATTCTCTCTAATATCACCTTCCGGACATGCAAATATTGAACTGTAAATTGCATATCTGTGTATCGATGCTTCTACATACGTGAACCAAGTTCTACATTGCCGTTGGAAGTGAATGAAGACAATCAATTATCTCACTGAAAATTGATATTAGGATTAAGACAATTTATCATTCTCTATAAAACAATAGACGGGTATTAAGTGTAATTTATTTATTGATAGAATTATAAATTGAGTTAGTTCGATGTGGCAAAGTGGTGAAGTGGGAGAAAATTCTAGGTAAATAAAAGGTTTATTCAACTATTGAAGAGGATTTAGATGTGTTTTTAGTTCAACTAAGTAGATGCAAGAGACTATCAAGTTAGAAGAAGTTAAGATAACTTGTTGTTGGCTCATTTAGTAATATTCAAGAATGTTTTACATGATTTTGTGAAATTAAGCTTTAGTCAGCACAGTTTGACACTATTCAGCAACATTCAGCTTCATTATTAAGTGACAAGCTTACCGTAATCAATGGAAAGGTCGATTTGTTGCCGGAAGAACAACAGAAAATTGAGAAAAGTATTGGAGAATTCTGTGTAAATAACGCATTTTACACTAGCAAAGTCACGGACTGTAATGAAAGATCAAAAACAATTGAATCAAAAGTTGATAAAATAAATTTTATTGCCAAAAAATACCAGGATGAAGAATGGAAAACAGTTACAAACAAGAAAAAAAATCGGCCACTTTTTTCTGTGGTGTTAAAAACAAATCCACAGAACAATGTTGGCACTTTAAAAGAAGAAATGTTAAAAAATTATGTCCCAAATGAAGTTAATGTTGCAAAAATTATAAATGCTGGTGACGACAAGTTGATAGCAGTTTGTGAGAACGAAAATGAGCAGCAAAAATTCGCTGAGGTCGCAAAAAAGAAATATGGAAATATTTGTGAAATAACTGTGCCAGATAAAAAAAATCGTAGATTTAAAGTGCTGAATGTTGAAATTTGGTCAAATTTTGATGACTTGTTGAATGAATCAATTGAAGAAGTTGTCAAACAAGAAAATATATATCTTGACCAAGCAAAAACTTGTAAGGTCATAAAATTTATGAAAGCTCGCATTAGTGGCAAACAAGTTGACACAAAAATTCACTTTATTGTGGAAGTTGATGAAAAATCATATGATCTTGCAATGAGTAAGGGAAGGATTAAATACCGGTATCAAGAACCAAGAATTGTTGATGGATTCATCGTTGGAAAGTGCTTCAACTGTTTCTCCTTCAACCATGTGAAGAAGGACTGCAAGAGTCTTGTGAAAACATGTTTCAACTGCGGAGAGGACCATCATGTGAAAGATTGTAAGGAAAATAAACCATCGTGTATAAATTGTAAAAGGGCAAATGAAGAAATTAAATCGGGAAAAAAGTTTGACATTAATCATAGTATGAATGATTTTGAGTGCCCATGTTATTTGAGAAAATATAACTATCTTATGTCAATGGTTAAATAGCAAGATGAATTTCCGATAATGTACACAAATGCTCAAGGTCTGAGAAATAATTTAGAACTATTTCGGGATTATTGTAAAAATTATACACCGTTTTTAATTGCGTTATCGGAAACTCATACTACAATAGATGTAATAAATAGGGAAATTGATATTGAAGGATATGAACTGATAAGATGTGATTCAGATTCGACTCACACTGGTGGGGTTGCATTTTTTATTAAAAAAGACTTTAAATATTCAATAATTAGCGCTAAATTTAAAAGCAGAACGTGGCTATTGACAATCAGAATATTATTAGAAAAAGTTGTAGATATTACGGTAATTTATAAATCACCTAAAGAAAAAAGCAATGAATTTTTTGAAATATTGGATGAGTACATTAATGAACACTTAAATTACAACTGCAATAATATTATAGTAGGTGACATAAACTTGAATGTTGCGACAAAAACTGTATCAGCTAAAAAATATTATAATTTATTAAGTGAACATGGTTTTAGACAAATTGTCAAAGATCCAACAAGGCCAAATAAAAAAAATTTAAATGCCTCGTCGATCATAGATCATGTAATAATAAATAATAATAATGTAAGCTACAAAATCGATAGAAATGAAAAAATCTCAGATCACTATATCATCAATATTATGTATAATAGTTCATGTTTTTTGCAGACATCACCCAAAATCTGTAAAATGATTAGAAAATACAAAAAGCAGACATTTTTAAAAAAATTGTGTAAAAAAATTGATATTGAAAATGAGAAAATCAGTTTCGAAAAAATATATAATGAACTAAAGGATGTAATGAAGTCGTTTGTTGAAAATGTTGATATGTCAAAAAAGCGACACAAATATAACAAAAAAATTGCTGAATTGAAGAAAACCAGGTCTCGTGCATACAATAAGCATATAATGAGCAATAAAGTTGATGATTTAAAAGAATACGATGAGCTTAACAAAAAATACAAAAAAGAAATAAAAAGTCATATAAGGTCTGAATTACAAAATAATCTAAGAAAATATAGGTTCGAACCAAAAAAACTGTGGAGTACATTAAAAAAATTGTACAAACCAAGCATAAATGAAATCAAAGCTATAATTTTTAATGGAGAAGAAGTTGACAACCCTAAGGTACTTAGAAATAGTTTAAATAAATTTTTTGTTGAGTCAGTACACAATCTAATAGCGAATATTGAAAAGTCCAAAAAAAGTGATTATAATGATGCCATTTTGCAACCGAATGAAGAGTTTAACCTAGTAACCATTGACAAAGAACAGTTAATGAAATATGTTGAAACCATTAAAAAGAAAAATTTTGATGACTTTGTTTACGGAGAGAATATTTTTGATATGATAAGTTATGAACCACTTGCCGATAAACTATTAGTAGCTACTAATGATTTAATCATAAAGAGTGAAATGCCCGAATCCCTTAAGGTCTCAATAGTATCGCCGATCCCGAAGGTAGATAATCCCAAGACACCCGAAGAGTACAGACCAGTAAATAATCTCCCAGTGTTGGAAAAATTTATTGAATCTATAATTTTGGACCAAATGAATGAATTTTTAGACTCTAACAAAATTATTTCAAGCACTCAACATGGCTTTCGTGCAAACCACAGCACCGAAACGGCTCTAATAACATTAACTGATAATATTATTCAAAATCTTGAAAATAAAAAAATTGTCTTAACGATTTTTTTAGATTTTAAAAGAGCATTTGAAACCATTGACAGAAAGATCTTATTAGATAAATTAAAAAAATATAATTTCAGTGATGAAACTATTAAATGGTTTAAAAGCTTTTTATCTAACAGAAAGCAAGTTGTAAAAATTAATGGACTTTATAGTGATAAAGTTGAAGTTTGCTTAGGAGTCCCACAAGGCTCTAAAATAGCAAATGTACTTTTCATTCTTTATATAAATGACTTGGTTTTGCATTTGAAAAATTGTAGTATAATAATGTATGCAGATGACACGTCAATATCGGTCACTGCAAACACACAAAAAGAAGCGGTCGAAAAAATGAATGACATTCTTTTAATTGTATCAGACTGGTTGAAATTTAATAGGATTGCACTTAATATTAATAAGTGTAAATACATGATTTTTAATAAATCTAAGAAAAATATGAATGATGATATGAACATTGTCATTGATGATGTGGCTATCGAAAAAGTCAATCAAATAAAATATTTAGGTGTAATTGTTGATGAAAATTTGAGTTTCAATTTGAACTCAGAAAACGTTGTTAAAAAGTTGAATAAAAAGTTAGGTTTTATAAGAAGGCAAGGATTTAAAATGAATGAGAGCAGTAGAGTTTTGTACTACAAATCTCTAGTGCAGCCTCATCTTGATTATTGCTCATTTTTGTTAAATATGTCTAACAAAAAATATTTAGAATCCATTCAAAAAGTACAAAACAAATTTTTAAGAGCTATCAAATTGAAGAAAAGAATGGAAAATCATGATGGAGTAAGAAAAGAATTAAATATAGTAAATGTTCATACTAGAATAAATGTCAACATCTTAAAGACAATTAACCGAATTATTACCAAAAAATTGCCATGTGAATTAAATAATAGAATTGCACTTGTTAGTAATAAAAATAAATATACGCTGAGGAAGGGTGGAGCTTATAATGTGCCTAACTACTATACTAAAGTAGGAAAAAGGTCATTTATGTACTACTCTCAAAACCTGTTAAATGAATTTAATGAATTTGTAAAGAAAAATAAATTGGATAAACAAAACATAATTGTTAACTATTTAAAATTTTTAAGTAATAAATAAAGCCTTTTAGGCGCTAATTGAAAAAAAAAAAAAAAAAAAAAAAAAAAAAATTATTCTCAGTTCAGCACTATTCAGCTTTATAAAGCTCAATTCAGCAAAATTCAACTTCATAAAGCTCAATTCAGCACTAATCAGCTTGACTAAGATTAATTCAGCACTTTTCAGCTATATTCAGCACTATTCAGCTATATTGAGCACTTATGAGCTCAACTAAGCTTGATTCCGGCCAATTAATCAAAATTAAGCACGATTGAGCATCATTTAAATTGCTTTATCGACCTCAAACATGACAACACATAGCCAATAAATTTATTCCACTGCAACTTCCATATATAAATTGCATTATCCCAAGATAACAACGATCTGCAGAGCACTAAAACAATCTCTAAGCTCCCAGCATAGTCAGAAAGAATATAACAAGCTATTTATTCTCAACAAAGATTACGTGTAATAAGGTACAATATGCATCACCAACGTTTTTTTTCTTCCTCTTCTTTCATAACATAATTGGATTTTTGCGAAAGAATCATTTCAGTTTTTATCGTACCATTGATAAACTGTGCAAATACATTTGTTGTCGTTCATTTAATTTTAACAGCAGCAAAAAAAAAAAGGGAAGCAAGAAGAAGAATTGCGCAATGTTGATGAGATAATTAAGTTTTGTATCTACTCTATTATAATCGTCACCATCTGGCATGGCACATGTATTTAGAGTTCAACATAATGACTGTTGGAAATGTCATACAACCAAATATTAGTTCTTCTTCTTTCTTGTTACTTCTATTGCCTCAGTCTAATTTCATTCGGGCGGTGACAGTTATGTGAGCTATAAAGTGGATTATTTTTTTTGCAACAAACCACAACTTGATCAATGCAAAAAAAACAGTATTTCAAATTTGCTTTTTTCAATTTAACGCTATTCTTGCAATTATAAAATTACAGTTTCACAGTTCAGTAGCGATACACAAGCGGATATCTATCACGTATTTTTAATTTGCGAGCATGTCATGCTACATTGATGCCATCAATATTGTGTTGTACAATTACTGTGGAAAATAGATGTGAGCATAGGTATTGGAGATATAAAGGGATGGAAAGTTTTGTGGAAATAATTGGGATTTAGAAACTTTTATCTTTTTTCAAAGAGAAACTTGATGGTAAAGAATGCAGAAAGTGAAATTTGTTGCAGAATTTTGAAAACTTTAAAAATTATTTTGACAAAAAACACGTGGTTAAGTACTAAAATTTGGAATTTCTCTACTTTATTAAGTTTAAATCCAACAAAATCATACTTTTAACATTCCTGCCATCTTTTAGAGCAAAATTAGCAACAAACATCAAACTTTAACATTATATAATCAAAAATATTCTAGAAAAACTTTTCGAAGTGAGAAAATTCACCATTTTATTTTTTTTTCCTCTCAAAATTTCTAAAGTTTTCATCGCAAGATGAGATTAATAGAATTTCAAACTCGACATGTTGCGGGTTATTAATTTATATCTGCACATGCTATAGTTTCTACAAAACAAAATAAATATTTCATATTGCAAAAATATATAAAATTGCAATGCAAAATATGGAAACACAAAATTGATTTATATTGCAATTGCAATTTGCAATAGCCAATTGAGGGAAAACGATATATGCAAAAATGTAGAAATTGATGTGCAATATTGATGAATACAATATTTGCTCATGTGCCTCCTTTCGCCCATTAAACCATCATACCTAATAGCCTTTGATGTCACTCTCACTATTCATATGCATTTAAAACAATTATATTTGAAGCAGTAGTTAATCGGTAGGCAGCAAAAATGGCAATAAAAAATATCTGTGCACACAATAAATTTTAAAACTTAATTGCATTTTACGGACGGTGTTTTAAAAAAGAAGAAATGTTAGGGAGAGAAAGGCAACTAAAGCTTGTATTTTGCTGTGTTTTATAAAGACAATATTTTATGATTAAATTAAATTAAAGAGATATTTATTAAAATTGAGAGAAGAAAGGCACTTATTGAAGATGGTTGTGTAACTTCATGAAGACCTCACACTGGGGTATAAGTTTTAATATTCCAAAAATCATCTTCCCGAATAGCACAAGTCGGTTAATGGACTAGAAATCCAGCGCCGAGCTAGCATAACTCTAGTATGGTACCGACTTCGATTTGAATCCATCACCAAGCCAGAGTATCATCGGATTTGTGCGGAATTTCTGATCGATTAACCGATTTGTGCTGTTCCGGGCTTGTAATGACATAATCATTAAACAAATGTTCCTTTCTAATAACTTTTTACAACCTTTCATTCAATTTCTCCTTATTTAACTGTTTATTTTTATTACTATAAATTCATAGCAATTAACAAGTTGCTCATAATAATAAACAAAGACAGAGAGTTGCGAACGAAAAATCAATCAAACATGAGTAAATCTATGCACTTTAATGATTATGTCCATTTTAATCGTCTTAACTCTATCTTTATGTATTATCTCATTTTTTTATTACTTTCTCATGGATGATAAATTGATCGGTTGGAAGTTTGGAGTTTTTGTGGGATGATTGGTAGATAAAGCGATTTTATGACTGCTTCGGTATCGGTAAAGACCCCTCTAATTATAAGAAAGAGTCAATCACACTTTAAAGGTCAATTCTTCAACAGTTGCAAAGCCTCTTTCAAAGCAACACACATTTTCAATCGTAATCATCACCTGGATAACCTCAAAGACATACCAAATGTCATCTAGATAAACCAACAGCAGCACTAAAATTGGGTCAATCACAAACAATTCCAGTTTGGCAAATATTTGCCCGAATTATGTTAGAAAATCATTTATCATTCAATAAACACCAATTCCCATACATTCTGTCAAGACAAGCTGTCAATTATCAGACCAATATGATCAATCTGTAAACAAAGTTAGACAAAAACCAGAAAACTGTTTTTTTTCTTCTCCCTCTCGACAGCATCAAGACCCGTTAATGTCTGACTCAATGAATAAAATCTATCATATTTAATGTTTTATGAATGAATCTATAGATGTTGTGAGCTCTCTATTCGATTCCAAAATTAACCACATATATACACGATGTAACAAGTCACTAGATAGTCATCATGTGCTGTCATGGAGACGACTTTGTTGTTGATATGTCTTTTTACGGTAGAAATAATGTGAAATAACTTACAAGATTTAAAGAGAAATAAATGAGATTGAAATTATGCAATTAAATACAATGTATGTTGTTGTGGATGGGTTGGTATGGAGTGGACTAGGATTGTTATAATTTGATAGTTTAGAGCTCGTTTCTCATCAATTTTTGAGTGTCCGGATGACACATTGCATAGAACAGTCGCAAGATTCAAGCATAAAATTCTAGAAAGTTGGATTACAAAAAAACTTGTTCAAAATTCCCAATTATCATTTAATCAACAATTTTTAATCTAATTCTCATTATCATATGCACCTCCAAACTTCCTCAAACCCAAACCACACACAACACAATAAATTTCTCCCAATTCATAATCAGCAGGATTATGTGTTTAAAAAAACCTGCGGTTAAACATTCTAATCAATGCTTCCCATATTTATTTTTATGTCGACAGATTGTGAAATTATCTGCGGTTCTTATGTGCATATACACAATAATATAAATATTTCCCATAAGCCTATCATCATCACATTACACGATGATATTCATTTCTTCTATACTTTTTTATTTTATTTTATTTTATGTAATAATAATTGTATGTATGGATATTGACAATCAACATTATTATTATTTTTTATGCTGAATAATCTCTCTCACACTCGTTTCGTTCCTTCAATTGCACATTGATTGTTGCTCTTTATGTTAGCGATGTGATGTGACTACACAAGTGTGAAAAAGATTGATATTGGAGGTAATAATGTGGTAATAATAATGTTAATGGAGAGTTTGGTGATGTTATGTCATTTTTTGGGTTTAAGACTTGGATGATATTTGGAGGTTATTGACATGTTTTATGAGATAATCGATGATTTGATGCTATTTAGGAGCATCTATCAGTAGGATTAGCAAGAATTTTGACTGTGACTATCATGGGTGTCCCCAGTGGCTCTTGAAACTCTGAGTGAACCAAACTGTTTGCTACAGAACAGTCAAGTTGATGAGTTATAGCCAAAAAAAATCACTAAAACGATAAGTGACCCTCAACATGCCCTGTTTCAATCCCAAATTCCCATTCCAAGTCAAATGATCCGTCTTACTACAAATATTTCTTATTATGTCACAACTACATGCTGATGACTCAACGATAATAGTTTAAAATTCCGCTAAGTAATGCTAATGATTTTAATTTAAATTTAATTTTCATTTTCTACTTAAAAAGCACATCGGTGCTGATGCTTGACATCAAGATTAAAATTTCACTACTGTTGCTAATTAGCATAACGTGTCAAGAAAGAAATGTCTTAATCTAATTACGAAATTACTTTTACATTAGTTGTGTTTGTGTGACTGTGGAATGTCCGGAATGTGCTAGCTTAATAACCTTCTCAATACTTCATGATTTATTTTTATCATGGATGACACAAAAATGCACGTGATCATGTGTCTAATATTCAAGTGCGTATAAACAAGAAATCAATTAAGCCTCAATTTTCAATGACGCTTCATAACCGTCAGCAAAATTATTATATTTTTGTGGTTTAGAATCAAGGGCGGAAAGGCAAATAATTAGAAAAAAAATATAGGAAATTAAAGTTGTTTTTATTATTTTCACGTGCTTCTGTAATGTTTTTTGAATAAATATGACACGATTTTAGTTTTTGTGCTTTAATTGGGGATGTTTAGTGGAATGTCCAATTTTATAAACTTGTCAACAAATGTAAATTTAAATTTAAAATCACCACAGTCAGTGTACTTGAATGTGCAACATTCTCTTGCATAATTATTGATACCAAGAATTGCAGTCATTTAGCAGCAGCAGAAAAAAGAGAAAGACACAACCTTTGAGCAATAAACTTATTGCCAATCGATCTATCTACCTATTCATGTATATCACGTTAATAGCTATTAAGAGGGGCAAATTTTTACGATATCGAGCAACTCTGCGACCTTCGGGGTCTTGAAAAATGTAAATTGTAAAGACTAAGAAAATTGAATTAATTTGTTCATAATGTAAATAAAATTCGATTTCGTAAATCGGTGACAAGTAGCTGTGTTTAAATATATTGTTATAAATATTTTTATAGGCTTTAGCAGGTCTTGCACGTTTTTAAAGTCGTGAAAATTTTAAGAATTTTTAAGGTTTGAAGAATGTGAATTTTAGGCTTTATTTTTTGTATTGAAATGTTTGGAATTTTTTATTGTAAATTTTAAATGTTAAAATAGTGTTTTGTTTATTTTTTCAAAGTTTTTTATTTTTTTTTCAATTTTTCTTTGATTTCTTTGAATTTTCTTTGAGTATTTCAATATTTTCAACATTTGTTTTTAATTTTTTCAACCTTTTCTAGTTCTTTTTAATTTTTTTCCATTTTTACAACAGTTTTTAAATTATTTAAAAAAATTTATTGACATCCAAAAATTATTATTACAATTTTTAAAATTTTACCATATTTTCTTTTTAATTTTGCATTTTTTATTTATTTTAAGAGAAGGTTTTAAATTTTTTCCCCATAAATTAATAAATTTAAATTTGTGACTATTGTGTCAAAATGTGTCAAATTTGAAAAATTTTATTAATTGATTCAAAGTCTTTTAAATTTTTTGAAATGACTGAAAATCATTTCTTTTCCCATAGCATTCAAAAATAATTTTTAAACATCAAACATTTCATCATTTAACATTTTTCAAGTGAAAAAGATTATTTGTACGTTATTAATTAATTTCTAATTATCTTCAATTTTCTCTTTGAACACAAAACAGTTAAAAAACTATTTTTTTCTCGTGCTAATTCACTCATTCATTTTGAGATATTTACACAAAATATAATGAAAAAAAAAATCACGAAAACAACAGAAAAAAAATTTAAAATTTCATT